AAAGTTTTTAACATATTTGACCCCTGTTACCTTGAATATGGGTGAAGGTCATTTATTTGAACAAACTTTGTAGCCCTTCATCTCAGCATGCTACTGGCCAAATAGTATCACCCTGGGCATTTTGGTTATTGAGAAGAAGTTGTTTGAAGTTTTTAACATATTTGACCCATGTGACCTTGCAAATGGGTGAAGGTCATTCATTTGAACAAACTTGGTAGCCCTACATCCAAGTGTGCTACTGGCCATAAAACATCTCCCTGGGCAGTTTGGTTATCGAGAAGAAGATGTTTAAAGTTTTTAACATATTTGACCCCTGTGACCTTGAAAATGGGTGAAGGTCATTAATTTTAACAAACTTTGAAGCCCTTCATCCCAGTTTGCTTCTGGCTAAATATCAACACCCTAGGCCTTTTGGTTATTAAGAAGAAGTCGTTTAAAGTAAAATATTGACGCTGGATGCCGGACGCCGGACAGACGGACAGACGACGAACTGCATAAGCTCACTTGGCACTTCATGCCAGGTGAGCTAAAAAGAAGTGTATCAAGTGTTATAGGGAGAAATATTTGTTAATGCAGCAGCTTACCTTCTGGTCCTCATCAATCCTAGATGGCATTCAGACCAATCAAAGCCTCCTTCACATACAATCTCCTTTAGTCAAAAAAGACCCGTTTTATCATGGTGATCTAACAGACACAAGATGACCCATTAACCTCAGTAGGTATAACCTCTGGACCCCTACTTTAGAGCACTATTTCGTAAATTTACGTTTAAGACGTCAGAGATGTTAACTCCCTGGGAGGCGGCTCCACACTGTCACTTCTGCTCCAGGAACCAGCTAAGTGTAAATTATCAAACTTCAAAGTCTGAAAAACAAAACTACTTTCACCTGTTCTGATTGCAAAATTATTCCTCTAGGGTTAAAATATGGAAAATGTTCATGCTTCTAGCCACCAATACAAATATATTTATTAAAACTGACATGGTTGCGTCTGCAAACTTAAAACTGTACAACAAGTCACTGGAACAAACATGCACTATAACCAGATCTCATTACAGTGTACAATTGACAAGGCTGCCACATCAAAGAACCATTAACCATCTACTTAAAGTAATCATTTTTCTCAAAACTATTCCCTACTTTAAATATGAAGTATTTTTCATGTCATAAATCGCTCATTGTTTGCTCAGATGTTTGACTTCATTGAAAAATCAATGGGAAGTAAATAGTGTAACTTGATTTTTAAAAGAACATTTCATCATCCCAGGTACAACCCAACTATGTTTGTACAATATCTCCTATACTTTACAGCCTACATCTATTCTCAAGTCAATAAATATATTAATGTCTTGCAATTATCTTGAACTTATAGCTCAGATTTTCAAAGAAAAAGCACTGGAGTAGAAATATCAGAACATTTTGATTAGATCAATTATACAAGTTCTACATGTTTAATGTCACATTTGTGGGATATTTTGATTTTCTATGTGTAAGTATCAACTTTAAGAGGTAACTTGGCTGCATGAAACCACAGTTACCACAATTTAAATATGTAACCATAGTTACATATAAAACCATAGTTACCACAATTTATTATGTAACCATAGTTACATATAAAACCATAGTAACCACAATTTATTATGTAACCATAGTTACAACATGATATTTATATAAAGCTATAGTTATATCATGGTAACATAAAATAATAGTTAAACCATGTTAACATATAAAACCATGGTTACATCATGGTAACATATAAAACCATAGTTACATCATGGTAAATTATAAAACCATAGTTACATCATGGTAACATATATAAAACCATAGTTACATCATGGTAACATATAAAACCATAGTTACATCATGGTAAATTATAAAACCATAGTTACATCATGGTAAATTATAAAACCATAGTTACATCATGGTAACATATAAAACCCTAGTTACATCATGGTAACATATATAACCATAGTTACATCATGGTAACATATAAAATCATAGTTACATCATGGTAGTATATAAAACCATAGTTACATCATGGTAACATATAAAACAATAGTTACATCATGGTAGTTTATAGAACCATAGTTACATCATGGTAACATATAAAACCATAGTTACATCATGGTAGTATATAAAACCATAGTTACATCATGGTAGTATATAGAACCATAGTTACATCATGATAACATATATAACAACAGTTACATCAGTAGCTCATTAATGAGCAGCACACATCAGAAACAAGTTAGAAAGGTATGCATATTAAGTTAATTATGTTAGCAAAGAAATTGCCTACCTCTATGCACATTTACAATGATTTCCTCATGTGAGAAAACACAAACTTGTGCAAGGAAATTTCTGCTCACGTGAGTGACCTTAGTAAGCTTTATGATTTATCTAATAATAACCTGTAATTCCTTCTCAAATTCGAACCCCCATTTATACCCTAACTTAAATTAATACACAATATGATGTTAAAGCATCTAGAAATGAGAATTTCCATAGAACCTATATATAATTGCTATATTTTAGTTGCTGGAAGACTTCCACATAGCTAATTCCTATGGAAAGTCTTCTAGATGCTTCAACTTCATATTTCATCTCCAAAGTTTTTAATGAGGATTATTTTAGCCAATCTCCCTGATAGTAATGAAGCATATAAGAGTAGTCTCCCCTAGTTTCCATAGTATTACATGACTAATTGTGCTGATGAGACTTATAATAAGAGTAGTCTCCCCTACAAGAGCGCATGAAAAATTTGGCTAAAGCCGACTCTTATTCAGATATGATAACAAAATATAATTTATGACAGTTTCTGCATGTTAAAATAACAAAATGTCAGATCAATTCCTAAGGAAAATTTATTCTTATATAACCATTTTTCTAAAAGTACACACACTGGAAGACAGCTAGTTTGTTTAAAAATTGGTAGAGTCTGAAAAGTCTGTAATTATGTAAGCGCATTGTACCTCATTTTTAACAGAGCTAATCAAAGTTTGATAAAGGGAAAAACAGTAAATTTTTCAGAAATCATAAAAAGTTGTTTTCAAGTAAAAGCAGTATAGAAATTATACCGATTGTATATAGATCCCTCAACTCTTTAAAACAATTAAATCAGACTTGTTGTTATTCCCTTGTATTATACCTATATATTTAGTACGGTGCGGATCCAGGAGATGGTAACTTTCTGCATGCAATATTTTTAATTTTCACTAAGGATCCCATTCCCAAAGTAAGCAAAACTCTTAGATGTAGTTTTTCACACATACAGTTACCTCCCCTTAATTTTGTTTGGAAATAACTGTAAGTGCCCTTATGGAAAGATGAGTTTGCAGCAAAGTTGCAGCATATGTGCTGCAACCTTGCGAGCACCCAAAATCTATGCAGTGGACAGAAAAATGACAAGTGCAGAACTGTGCCAGTAGCTGCAAACCTTCTGCACATAGTATTCCAGGACACGTACACTTTATGTGCTGCTAGCTGCACATTTACTAAATATGGGTACTAATGTGCTGCTACCTGCTCATACTGAAAACTGTGAAGGATTCAGTGCCACTAGTGGCACTTTGTGTGCTGCTAGCTGCACTGTAAACATTGTGCCATGAATAAACTATTGATGATGAAAATAAAGGTAACACCATGCATTAGCCCCAAAATACCAACTTTTGATGGATGTGGAGCAGACGGAAATATTTTGAGGAGATAACAGATTTTTGCATTTCAGCCACATTCACCATGCATTCAAGATTATGTACAGCAATGGTTGGAAACCTTTTTTTGAGAAGAGACACAGCAGAGCCCAATGAACTTAAACCTGAGGAGCTTGAGCCCTCTTGAAAATTGAGGACAGCAGGTTTTGAAGCCTTATCGACATCGCAAAACATAAAGGTAGACCTACAGCATTTAACATTGTGTAGAGAGTGTGACACAATGTATAATGCTGTAGTAAGAAGTTATATGAATGTTAGTTAAACGATTAGCCTGAAACAGCAAGTGTAATCTACTATCAGACCAACAGTATGCAAAATACATGCAAAGGGGCTAAATCTCCAAGGGTGGGGCAAACCCCAAGGCCATCCTGGAAGCATATGTGTATTCATTTCTTTATACTTAGCAATTGTATATATGGTTATAGGGTAGAAATCTCAACTGTTTCCAAGCTGTGACTAAGAAACTAGGTCCCTAGGGGTTCAGTCAGACCCTAGGTTCTATTCTTATATCATGACTGCATTCGTCTCCTTATGCCCAGCATTTGTATATATAGTTTTGGGGATAGGATCTCAACCGTTTCAAAGTTATGACCCAGGGACTTTGTCTCCAAGGGTGGGGCCAGACCCTAGGGCCATCCTGGAAGCAGCTGTGCATTCTTCTCTTCATACTCAGCAATTGTTTTTATGGTTATACGGTGGGAATCACAACCATTTCCAAGTAATAAACTTATTTTGGCCCCACCCCTTAGCCCGAGGGGTCAACCACAAAATTTGTACAATTTTGAATCCCCACCACTTAGGAATGCTTCCAGTCAAATATGGTTGATATCCATCTCTTAGTTCCAGAGAAGAAGTCGCTTAAAGCAATAAAGCCAAGTTGCCCCATTTTGGCCCCTCCCCTCAGGCCCCTTGGGGGTCAGCCACAACATTTGTACAATTTTGAATCCCTACCACCTAGGAATGCTTCCAGTCAAATATGGTTTATATCCATCTCTTAGTTCCAGAGAAGAAGTCGCTCAAAGCAATAAATTCAAATTGCCCCCTTTTGGCCCCGCCCCTCAGGCCCCATGGGGGACAGCCCCACCATTTGTACAATTTTGAATCCCTACCACCTAGGAATGCTTCCAGTCAAATTTAGTTAAATTCCAATTGGTGGTTAAGAAGAAGTCATTTAAAGAAATTGTTGACGGACGCCGGACGCCACGGTATGGCATAAGCTCACCTTGGTCCTTCGGACCCGTTGAGCTAATAATACCAGTAGATGTACTTACAGGGTGTAGAGCGTGTAGAGGCTGTGACAGGATGAAGGGAAGATGAAGCGGCTGTAAGGTCTGTGCATGTTGGTCTGCTTTGGGCCTCTCCTTCATTCTTCTAAATCTGTCAAAATAGACAGAGATACAGTTAATGTTAGTTACTTCTTGCTTACCCTGACAAACCACATTGATGCAGGGCTAGACATTAATTTTATAAACCACTAGTCAGTTCGGCTGGTAGTTTGAAAGTCCACATGCAAATTCTTCTAACCCAATTTTATTCAACATGAAAATTGTATTCAACATGAAAATTAAAGTAATATCAGATTTTGACTAGTCATTCAGGCAAGTAGTTTTTAGAATCACTAGTCCAGCTGGATTTTTCACTAGTCTCAGACTATCAGGCTACCCTTATATTGTCTAGCCCTATGATGGTTCGTACCTTTCATGCTGTGTCAGCTTGAAGTATTCACCTCTTTCAAATAACAGAACAAAGTAATTGTGCTTCCATATAACGGACATCAGCTCATAGTTTAGATGCCAAAAAAATATAATTCTGTTTCCTCACCAACTTTTTTTACCTCCAACTCAGTGTAGCAAGTTTGGTAAACAAAGGTGAAATAGCAAGAAAGTTACGTTACATGTATACATCATTGACAGCCAAGCTAGCCAGACAGCCAGCCAGACAGCCAGCTTGCCAGCCAGCCAGACAGACAGACAGACAGACAGACAGACAGACAGACAGACAGACAGCCAGACAGCCAGACAGACAGCCAGCTTGCCAGACAGACAGACAGACAGACAGACAGCCAGCCAGACAGACAGACAGACAGCCAGCCAGCTTGCAGATAATGCCCTTCTTATAATATACATCCTGTCAAAAACAGGAAACGGACCTACAATTTTTGTTTAGCCTTGTATATGTATTTGACACACCGACAATGACCTGACACTTCTATACCATTTAGGTTCTTCCTTATTTCAATACCACAAAACAAGGCACTACAACATACATTTGTATTTCAATATGACCAACCTTCAAATTTAATTAACAAATTTCAATAATAATAAGACTGTAGGCTAATTGGCCAATTGTCTCTCACAAACAGCATGGATAAATAACACACAAGTATAATTGAAAAGGGTTCATTAGGAACACACTCATATACAATTATTTAAACCACACTATATACAAACAGTGTCAGATATGAATTCATACTTTTACAAAACAACAACAGTTGGTGCCAGCCCTGGGTAATTGAGTTGTTATCTAATTTTACTGAATTAACTAATTTAACAAGAACTCAATGGTATTGGACCTGCCTGCTGGTGGCTTTTGTTGATTTTCAGATTTGGATAAAAAATGAACTTTGCGGTTAATTGATACTTTAGGTATGTGTATAAGCATTAGGTACATGAAAATAAATATTCATTTAACCCTTTCACCCCTATGCAACTTTAGTAGACTCTCCCATGCATTGATATGGATGAGTCCATTATGGTCTACAGTGGTGAAAGGGTAAAGAGTTATTTAGTAGAAACCAAATGTCCAGATGCCACCACCCAGGGAGTTATCTCTATGTTATTTTTGCTTCACTGGCAACACACAAATATTTGACAAATTCTCTGGTTCCCCAATGGTTTTGAAAACTTGCTGAATTTTTAACTTAATTCCCTTAAGTCTATATAAGATATCTAGGGGAGATTTTTTTGTATTGATTTTCTGGTATTAATGTTTTAATCACTTATGAGTTTATTCTGCACACAGTAAGTATGTACACAATCAAGCATCTTGTTTATAATATTCTGAGGTAGAATGTCGGGTTATAATATTCTGAGGTAGAATGTCGGGGTATAATATTCTGAGGGTGTGTTTCGGGGTATAATATTCGGAGGGTGTATGTCGGGTTATAATATTCGCAGGTTGTATGTCGGGTTCTAATATTCTGAGGTTGTGTGTCGGGTTATATATAACATTCTGAGGTTGTCTGTCGGGTCATAATATTCTGTGGTTGTATGTCGGGTTAAAATATTCTGAGGGTGTATGTCGAGTTATAATATTCTGCGGTTGTATGTCGGGTTATAATATTCTGAGGTTGTATGTCAGGTTAAAATATTCTGAGGTTGTATGTCGGGTTAAAATATTCTGAGGTTGTATGTCGGGTTATAATATTCTGAGGTTGTATGTCGAGTTATAATATTCTGAGGTTGTATGTCGGGTTTCAATATTCTGAGGTTGTATGTCGGGTTATAATATTCTGAGGTTGTGTGTCGGGTTATAATATTCTGAGGTTGTATGTCGGGTTATAATATTCCGAGGTTGTATGTCGGGTTATACTATTCTGAGGTTGTATGTCGGGTTATAATATTCTGAGGTAGAATTTTGGGTTATAATATTCTGAGGTTGTGAAGTTGTAACCTAAAGGACTTGAGTTGAGACTGTTAACAAAAGTTCCACTCTCCTCTACAAACACACAACATACAAATGTTGTTTTTAGTTCAAACATATATTTTATTGTACAAAGATACAAATGGATCGGACAAAAAGTTATTTCAACTTAATAAAGTCCTATCCCCAATACATATGGTAACAAGAGTACCGCAGGGCGGAACAATATACGCCCATCAAATGCCATATAGTGTTATATACTATCTTGCATTTAAATAAGATTCAAATCACCTTAAGAGTGGCTAGCTAGCATGCTATAAATCTCACCTTTCACTACAAAGTCAATGTTCGATTTTCTTTAATTTTCTTGGCTAGCTAGCATGCTATAAATCTCACCTTTCACTACAAAGTCAATGTTCGATTTTCTTTAATTTTCTAACAGTTTGAGAAAAACAAGTTATCAAAAGATTAGTCTAAAACTCATTAAACACAACTTGATATCATGATTATAAAGCCTACCTAGTTTCAAAGAAATTGATAGAAAACTGTAGAAGGAGTTTTCCGGACAAGATTCAAGTTCTAGAAATAAACAAAGGGCAATAACTTCTGTAAGATAGTCAAATCAAATTTCTTTTTTGAAGAAACAACTATATATCATGATTATAAAACCTACCGAGTTTCAAAGAAATCGGTCGAAAAAAGGAGGAGGAAATATCCGGACAAAATCAAATACTGAAATGAACAAAGGGCAATAACATTTGCAAAAAAAATCGAATCAAAATTCTTTTCAAGGAAACATAACAACATGTCAAGGAAGCAAATATTTAGATATTGTCGTCTGCTTTCCAAAAAAGGCAAATTAAAATGTTTTCATATATCAGAATAAGAATGGCTACGGAAATTAAAATTTGCCTTAAAGCACAACAATTTTAAAAAATGTCTGTGTACTGATTCTAGCTGGTGTATAAAAGTAATATGGTGCGGTGACCAGATTTCGCTGCAATACTCCAATTGACTTCTGACTAAACTTATATACAATGACCTTATTACTGATACGTTTTTAAAATGTTTACATGAACGTTTTCAAATCCAAGCATTTGCATACTTCTTGACAACTTTTTTAATATGGTGGGAGAAGTTAAGTTTATCCGATATCCAGACTCCTAGGTCTTTAACACATGTGGCCTTCGATGACAACTTGCCTCCCATCATGTAAGAATACTTGATTTGGATTTTGTTATATTCCACTGAATGTTAAGGGTGCATACATGTATAGTTCACTTTACCAAAGATGTTTATTTACTGGAACTTTTAAACAAGAGGCCTAGAGGACCTGTATCGCTCACCTGGATACCAAAGCAATCATGGCAAAATATTCTTCGAATGAGATCAAGGGAATATGCCGGACCCCAAGGCCAATCCTTGTAGCATATCTGTATTAGATTCTTCATGCCCCGCAATTTTATGGATGGTTATGGGGTGGGAATCTCAACTGTTTCCAAGCTTTGACTCGGAAACTAGGTCCCTAGGGTTGTGGCCAGACCCCAGGATCAATTCTAATATCGTGACTGCATTTGTCTCTTTTTGCCCAGCATTTGTATATATAGTTTTGGGGTGGGGATCTCAACCATTTCAAAGTTATGACCTAGGGGTTAAGTCTGCAAGGGTGGGGCAGACCCTGGGATCAATTCTAATATCATGACTGCATTCGTCTTTTTATGCCCAACAATTGTATATATAGTTTTGGGGTGGGGATCTAAACCATTTCGAAGTTATGACCCAGGGGTTAAGTCTCCAAGGGTGGGGCAGTCCCCAAGGCCATCCTGGAAGCATATGTGCAATCATCTCTTTATACTCAGCAATTGTATATACCGTTATAGGGTGGGGCTCTCAACTGTTTCCAAGCTGTGACTAACAAACTAGGTCCCTAGGGGTTCGGTCAGACCCCAGGGTCTATTCTGATATCATGACTGCATTCGTCTTTTTATGCCCAGCATTTGTATATATAGTTTTGGGGTGGGGATCTCAACAGTTTTAAAGTTATGGCCCAGGGACTATGTCTCCAAGGGTGGGGCCAGACCCTATAGCCATCCTGGAAGCAAATGTGCATTCTTCTCTTTATACTCAGCAATTGTATACCATGGTTATATGGTGGGGATCTCAACCATTTCTAAGTAATACACTTTTTTTGGCCCCGACCCTTAGCCCGGGGGGTCAGCCCCATCATTTGTACAATTTTGAATCCCTGCTACCTAGGGATGCTTCCAACCAAATATGATCAATATCCATGATATAGTTCTACAGTAGAAGTCGTTTATAGCAATAAAGCCAAATTGCCCCCTTTTTGGCCCCGCCCTCAGCCCCACCATTTGTACAATTTTGAATCCCTGCTACCTAGGGATGCTTCCGACCAAATATGATCAATATCCATGGCATAGTTCTACAGAAGAAGTCGTTTGTAGCAATATAGCCAAATTGCCCCCTTTTTGCCCCGACCCTCAGCCCCCTGGGGGGTCAGCCCAACCATTTGTACAATTTTGAATCCCCACCACCTAGGGATGCTTTCAGTCAAATATGGTTGATATCCATGGCATAGTTCTACAGAAGAAGTCGTTTGTAGCAATATAGCCAAATTGACTCCTTTTTGCCCTGCCCTTCAGCCCCCTGGGGGGTCAGCCCAACCATTTGTACAATTTTGAATCCCCACCACCTAGGGATGCTTCCAGTCAAATATG